GTACTTGAGGTAAAAGCAGCGTACTTAGCAACGAAGAGACTTCGACATTACCTGTTGGGTGTACAGTTCGACTTGGTAACAGATTGTGCGGCATTTAAGCAGACGATTTCCAAAGAAGATATCCCTCGAGAAGTTACGCCGTGGTTGATGTACCTACAAGACTTTACCTTCAATGCAGAGCATCGCGCAGGAACCAGAATGCAACATGTCGATAGTCTGAATCGTTTTCCAGTGATGATCGTAACATCAGAAGTTCACACACAGATCCAAAAGGCGCAGCAGAATGATGAACACCTAATGGCTGTCAGAGAATTACTAAAGCAGAATCCTTATGCAGATTATATTGTCAAAAACAGTATAATTTACAAGCAAGTAAGAGGACAAGATCTTTTGGCGGTACCAAACTGCATGGAGAAGGAGATAATAATAAACTCACACAACTTTGGCCACATGGGAACGCAAAAAACGATGCATGCAATCCAGCAGGATTTTTACATACCGCACTTGGAGAAGAAAGTTAAGCAGGTAATTTCAAACTGTATCGAATGCATCACACATAACCAGAAGCTATAAAGGCGACACACCCCTTTCAACGTTGCATGTGGATCACTTAGGTTCATTGGACATGACGTCGAAGAGCTACAAATATATCTTCGCTGTAATAGATGGCTTTTCGAAATATACTTGGATATTTCCTATTAAGTCGACCGGCGCTGAAGAAGTTATCAAACACTTGGAATCTTGGGTAACAATATTCGGCAGTCCTCACAGAATTATAAGCGATAAGGGAGCTGCATTTACATCTCACTCTTTTAAAGAATTTTGCAGCAACAACAGGATTGACCACATCGAGACGACTGCAGGTGTGCCAAGGGGCAATGGCCAGATCGAACGGGTCAACAGAGTTATCATTTCAGTTCTCTCAAAGATGTCAGAAGCAGAACCAGCAAAGTGTTATAAGTTCACATCGCAAGTGCAGCAGGCCATAAACGCACACGTCCACGCTTCAACTAGTTTCACGCCTTTTGAAGTTATGTTTGGCAAACGTATGAGAAACAACTCCAGTCCTGAGCTTTTGAGGATCCTTCAAGATGAGATGCTGGTAAACTTGCAAGACGAACGCAATCAAATCTGGCAGGAAGCTAGATTACAAATCAAAAAAGCTCAAGACAACTACAAGAAAAACTACGACAAGAAGAGAAAGAATCATCATGGTTTCCAGCTGGGAGATCTAGTAGCCATCAAGATGACCCAGTTTATAGCCGGAAGAAAGTTGGCCAAAAAATACATTGGTCCATATGAAGTCATTCAGGTAAAACGCAACAGCAGATACGACGTCAAGAAGGCAGCCGACTTTGAGGGTCCACTACAGACATCTCCTAGCGCTGATTTCATGAAGCTGTGGCGCTATGCTGATTTAGAAGAAGATGACGACCTGAGCGACGAGGAAGCTGAAGCATCTGGGACAGATGTTTTGCAGGATGGCCGAATGTGAAGTAATGGCAGTAGTAGAAGTTGGCAGTCCTTATTCATATCGATATGAGACTTCTTTCAACAGTCTTCAGCGATAGCCCATCACTCAGAAAGTAGAAGCGAGTCTTGGATCAGCGAAAAAGCAGAGAACGTGCAAAAAGTCGGCCGTAAAGTTGTAAAAGTAGTCAAGTCGCGCCAATCAGTTGCCAAATTGTTGTTCAACCTTTTTGAATCATTATAATCAACATTTTTGTAAACATTTATCCACATATCTATCCAAATAAACTTATGATAATAATCCCATTATCATACATACATACATATATATACATAAGATCGCGACTTTGTATAAATTCCAATTGCAATTTTTTTCCAATTGCATTTGTTCGGAGCAGACCGCCGGCACCTAATCTGGTGCGCATAGGTGTACCGCTGCAGATACTTATTTGTAATCCGCTCTTCAAGCCTCTCTTTGGTTATCTAAGATTGTTATCTATAACCGTCAAGCGACGGTATAAAGAAGCCGCGCTTTCGGCTTATCCCACCTTCAGTCAAAGCAATTACCCACTCGCTATATACATACACACACTGTTCGCGCAAAACGAAAAAACATAAGAGTTGCAGCTTCAAATAAACATACTTTAATTAACTTAACCTATTCGTGCGTTGATTAATTACAAGGGTGGCATATTGGATGTCCTTCCCACAAACATTTTGGTGACCCCGACGTGATATTCGTTCACGTAATATTCGTTCAAATCGGAGTCTGCAACTTAACTTTCGTTTTGGTTTAATATCGTTTAAACATTTGTCGTCGTTTGCTGGCATTCGGTCACAAACACACAACAGTGAATTTTGTACATTTCGCGCTGTGTTTATCAGTTCCTTTACTTTTGCTAGTCGGGCAAAATCTGTGCAAGAACAACAACAACTTGTACATAGGTTCCGTAACCTTTTTGTGACGCTTGGTGCCTTAACATTTTCGCGCTTTAAGCCACAGGGTGTTTCGTGCATAGAAGACTCGTTCAGAAATTACTTTTTACCTTTTATTTTTTTTGTGAATAATAAAATGCAAAATCCGGTGAACGAGAGTCAGCCTCAAAATGGCCCAAATGAAATTGAATTCTTTCGGGCCAAAGTACAATCCTATTTTCGGCAAATCAACGCGATGAAGAATTATTTGATGGCCAACAATATCGACCAATTTGACGAAGCCGATATTCATGCGCGGTTAAAGTGGATCGAGGCACAGAACTTGGCGTTTGATTCCGCCCAGACAGCGCTGGAGAGGCTGGACTTGGCCGAGCTTACGGGCGACACAAGGATGGAGTTTTCAGAAGTCGTAATGGATGTGGAGGCTAAGCTTAATCGAGGCTTGGAGGCTCAGTGAAAATCGCAATTTGCTGGGGCCACAGCTGCCAATTCGACGAGTTTTGAATTAACAAATAATCCAGATTTTTCGTTGCGGTCTAGAAAACCTCGATTACCAGCGTTGGAGATTGCGCGGTTTTATGGATCTTACTCCGATTGGCCGGACTTTTTCGCCACCTTCAGCGCGGTGATTGGAAATAATGAGGAGCTGACTGGTATCGAAAAATTGCAATATTTACGGTCTAGTTTATGCGGCGTAGCTCTGGAGACCATACGCTCGCTAGAACCTTCGAACAAAAATTATGAAATTATTTGTTTATAAATCGCTTTGATAATAAAGTTTTGCATTTTCAGGCACACGTGAAGGCTATATTAGGGCTGAAGGGTGTCGAGGAGGGATCAGCAACGGGTCTTCGGGAGCTCAGCGACTTCATAAATTCACATCTCCGAACAAATTTTAGACGGATTTCTTATTTACATCGTCGCTCACAAGCTGGACCAGAGGACTCTAGAAAGATGGGAAGAGGCCTTGCCCATTGCTGAGCTTCCAGCATGGACTGCCATGGAGTTGTTTCTGGAGAACAGGTGCAGGATGATGGAGAACTTTGATCAAGCCTTGGTAATCCAAACACCAGACCAGATACCACTCAAATGCAATTCTTGCCTCTGCTACGACCCTAAATTCTACTGTATGTCTGTTTTGCAATGGTAAGGACCATTTCCTGCCGAAATGTTCGCGATTTTTAAATTTGAGTCCAAATATTCGATACAGAGAAGCAAAGAAGATGCACCTTTGCCTAAATTGTTTGCGCAAGGGACATAGTTTGCAACAATGTAAAGCTTAAGATTGCAGACATTGTCGGATGAGGCACCACTCATTATTACACATGGCCTCGGACCCCTCAAGTTCGAACTCAATCTCATCTCCATCATCCGACCCGCTCCTGAATTCTCAGGCATTACCTTCCATTTCGTCAGCATTAGTTTCGCGCTCACATTCGCAATCTAATCAACATTTGGCGAACCCTCCACCCAGAGCCTCAAATAATATGCCGACGGAATACGTGTTGCTTCCAACTGCCATAGTTTACGTCAAAAACAGAGTTGGTGCTCTCACACCTTGCCGAGCCATTCTAGATTCGGGTTCCCAATTAAATTTCATTACTTCGCGCCTAGCTAGCCAGCTTAATTTGAAGCACAGGCGATCGCTCACACTCGTTTCTGGAATCGGAGAATCTTCCATGAGCGCTGATAGGGCAGTTGATATTCTAGCGCAGTCACGGGATGCAGGCTATCGTGCAGCATTCACAGCTGTAGTGACTCATAGTATCACTGACTATCAGCCTCATTTTGACATAAATGCAGCAGGATGGAGGATTCCAAAGGACATTTCGCTCGCGGATCCTCATTTCAACGATTCACAACGTATTGACCTCTTAATTGGAGCTGGTCTGTTCTTCGAAATAATTACTATGGGGCAAATTCATTTGGAAAACAACTTGCCAACTCTGCAGAACACCAAGCTTGGTTGGATCGTTTCTGGAGGGATATCAAGCATTCCAAATCATAAGTCTGTTTTAGCTGCCGTTATTAAGGATCCAGTCAATCATTCTGATGATGAAACGCTTACTGCTATTGTAAAACGATTTTGGTAAATAGAAGACGTTAGCTCAGCGGAGCCAGTTTTGTTGCCTGAGGACTTGCGGTGCGAACAACTTTTTAAGGAAAACTGCACTAGGCTTGAGAATGGTCAATACTCTGTTCGCCTCTTGTCCGCTTCAGGATTCGAATCATTAGGTGATTCCTATTCCCTGGCTCGTCGTCGTTTCAAGAGTTTGGAAGCTAAGCTAGATAGGAACCCAGCCCTGAAGGTTCACTATTCGTCCTTTCTAAAGGAGTATATAAACTTAGGACACATGTCCCTCGCAGCAAAGGATCCTACGGTACCGCAATTTTTCTTTACTCACCATTGTGTACATAAGCATGAGAGCACGAGCACAAAGCTTCGTGTCGTCTTTGATGGTTCTGCTAAAACGACTTCTGGTACCTCCTTGAATGACTTACTTCTCGCAGGGCCGACCATTCAAAAAAAAATCTTTAACATATTGCTTCGCTTCAGATTCTTTAAAGTAGCTCTTTGTGGAGACATCTGCAAGATGTACCGCTGCGTACGTGTTTCGTACCCGGATGATTTTTGGCGAGAAAATTCATCGGATGAGTTGAGTGTTTACAAACTAAACACGGTGACCTATGGAACAAAGCCAGCTGCTTTCTTGGCTATAAGAGCCATGCATCAGCTCTCTTATGATGAAGAGGAATCGTTTCCAATTGGAGCAGAGATTGTTCGTAGAGATTTCTATGTCGATGATTTAATTTCTGGGGGCGAAACGACTGAAGAGGTGAGAGAAATTCGTCGTCAGGTAAAGAATCTATTGTCGCGAGGACATTTTCCAATCCGCAAATGGTGTTTGAATGAGTTAACTGCCCTCAAAGGAGAGTCAGACGGCGATAAAGAGCAGCTTATTAAATTTCACGATGGATCAGATATCGCCAAGGCATTGGGACTCGCATGGGATCCTTCTTCTGATCAGTTCCTGTTCAATTTTTCTCAGATATCGTCAGGTCATAGAGTCACCAAACGGATCGCGTTGTCAACTATAGCCAAATTTTATGATCCTCTCGGGTTAATAACGCCAATTGTTACCAAATCTAAAATCTTCTTGCAATCTCTATGGAAGTCTAATGTGGATTGGGATGACGCATTGCCAGAGCCCATTCTTTCGTCATGGGGGGAGTTGACCTCTCAGTTGTCGATCGTCCAGAACTTAAAATTTCCACGATTCGTAACGCGTCTGCAAGCGACCATCCAGTTGCATGGATTCTGTGATGCTAGCACATCAGCTTATGGAGCTTACCTATATTTGCGGTCGGAGGACAATGAAAGCACAAGAGCTTATCTACTCTGCGCCAAGTCGAGAGTAGCCCCGTTGAAGGCCTTAACAGTTCCAAGATTGGAACTTTCAGCAGCACTTTTATTGGCAGAGCTTATCTTAAGCGTCAAGGAAACCATAGATCTCGATTGCGCCTTTCATTGCTGGTCTGACTCGACTATCGTGTTGGCGTGGATTAGGCAGCCTCCTAGGGAGTTCAACGAGTTTGTGTCCAACCGAATCGCAAAAATTGATGTTCCGACCAACCTCAATCCGGCGGATGTCGTGTCGCGAGGATGTACAACTAAAGAATTGCTGGAGCATTCTCTTTGGGCGAATGGACCTCCATTTCTTTTGCAGAACTCATCAGAATGGCCTTCCCTGCTTGATGTAGCAAAGGATCTTCCAGAGCGTCGTTCCGCGACTCTAATTGGAACCGTGTGCGTTGACATTTCTGTTAACTGCAAATTCCTTAACACGTTTGATAAGTTGCAGCGTGTATTTGCGTACGTGTATCGATTTATTTCGAATTGCAGGTCCAAGCCTTTACCTTCAAATAGCCATCTTTCCGTTGAGGAGATCAACTCGGGGACCGTACTTCTTCTAAGGAGCATCCAGCAGATTCATTTAGCCAAGGAGTATGGATTTCTTAGCCAGAGCAAGCCGTGTCCACAGAAGAGCAAGCTGAGTTCGCTGAGGCCAATTCTTGGCACCGATAGATTACTTCGCGTTGGTGGAAGACTGCAAAACGCAAACTTGGACTATGATACGAAACATCCGATATTGCTTCCCAAGGACCAACCAGTCACCAAAGCAATTATCGTGTATTTCCATAAAAAATACATGCACGCAGGATCGCAGGCGTTGCTGGCCACATTACGACAAAGGTATTGGCCGATTGGAGGTCGGAAGTTCGTGGCTAGCGTCATCAATAAATGCGTCAGATGCTTTCGGATGAGGCCTGTGACTTGGGAGCACGTCATGGGTAATCTTCCAGCAAATCGAGTTCAACCCTAACCCAGCATTTCACACGACAGGAGTCGACTATTGTGGGCCATTCTATCATAAAGCAGAGTCCCGGAACAAGGCACCGCACAAGTGCTACATCGCCGTCTTTGTCTGCTTTTCCACGAAGGCCGCTCACTTGGAAGTCGTCCAGGACCTCACAACAGATTCCTTCATAGCAGCTCTGAGAAGGTTCATCAGCCTTAGAGGCAGTCCGCGGACTATCTGGAGTGATAATGCGACTAACTTTGTCGGCGCCAAGAGCGAGTTAGGCGAGCTGAAGGAAATTATTTTTGAGCGAGCAACATATAGCTTCGATAGCTTCTTCGTGCCTAGCGGACGGGATAGATTGGAAGTTCATACCTCCGCGTGCCCCACACTTCGGTGGCCTATGGGAGGCCGCTGTCAAATCGGCCAAGTTTCACTTCTACAGAGTCGTTGGTCCATCCATCTTATTCCTCGATGAATTGAGAACTCTTGCCTACGAGATTTCTGCTATCCTTAACTCACGCCCCCTCTGTCCAATTTCAGAAAACGCTGAAAGCCTTGAGGTGCTAAAGCCGGGGCATTTCTTAAAGGGTTCCAGCTACACCAAATTTCCTGAGCCGGATGTCACGCATCTCCTTGAAGGCCGCCTCAGCAGATGGCAAATTGTGACTCAAATGCAGCAACTATTCTGGAGAAGGTGGAGCAGCCAATATTTATCACTTCTTCAGGAAAGGAGCAAATGGCGTTCTGAAGGATCTAACATCAAGATCGGAAGCATCGTGTTGCTGAAGCAGGACAACATTCCATCACTAAAATGGCCACTTGGCCAAGCCGGACGGCGAGGACGGCAAGGACGGCGTCGTCAGAGTAGTCATGGTCCGTACAGCTACGGGCATCATCAAGAGAGCCGTCGCTAAACTGGCCGTTCTGCCCGTCGATTCCCATCAAGTTGGAACCGTACCTCTTCCAACGGGAGGAGTATGTTCGGAGCAGACCGCCGGCACCTAATCTGGTGCGCATAGGTGTACCGCTGCAGATACTTATTTGTAATCCGCTCTTCAAGCCTCTCTTTGGTTATCTAAGATTGTTATCTATAAGCGTCAAGCGACGGTATAAAGAGGCCGCGCTTTCGGCTTATCCCACCTTCAGTCAAAGCAATTACCCACTCGCTATATACATACACACACTGTTCGCGCAAAACGAAAAAACATAAGAGTTGCAGCTCCAAATAAACATACTTTAATTAACTTAACCTATTCGTGCGTTGATTAATTACAAGGGTGGCATATTGGTTGTCTTCCCCACAAACAGCATTCTTAAATACAGTCCACATCCCAAACCTTAATAAAACATTTACAATAAATTAAAGCTGCAAAATTTAAATTGATAAATATAGTGCTACACACATATTGTAGGAGATAAGTAGTATACATATACATACAAATATATATAAGCACCTATGTATACATCACACATTTGTAAATACACATAACATAATTATCTATAAGCATATCTGTAAATTATCCCTAAGCTTTAGCAACATGTTGTTAGGATATATGCATACACACAATAAACATGCATTCGCATTTTGACTAGCAACGAGATCGCAAGCTTTTGATTGATCGGCCAACAAACGCGTGATATTTATTGAACAGCCCACAATCTCAGAAGTGGGATAAATACCCAAAACCTACAAAAAAAGTGCGATTTTCTTTTTTCTTCCACCATCCTAAAAGTGTTTAAAGAACAATTTGCAAGTGTGTGGTATGAAAGGTGTGGACCCAAGAAAATACTCAGTTGAACAGTTAAAAAATTGGCTGGGCCACCTTAAGTTATCCACAAAGGGTCCTAAAACTACATTAGTTGCCCGCATAAATCGAGTCCCAATTTCGATTCGAGGTAGCCAACCGCCGTTAGTTGTGAAATTGCTTCAGGAAGAACAACGAAAAGAAGCTGAACAAAAAATGGAAGAACAAAGTGAGAATTTCACAACAGGCGACGATCAGGCGCCGACGTGCAGCAACGCCAAGAATAACGACGCCAGCAACAACGAAATTTGGACTTGCGAGGAATTGCGTGCGAGTAAAATGGAAAACGAGCAGATAGAAGCAGGCGAAGTGGGTAGCCAGAATGACGAACTACAGAAATTAAAGAAAAAAATGGAACAGTTACTAGAGGAGAATGAAGGATTGAAAAATACCGAAAAAGAGCGAGAACCAGTGGGAGCAGGAAACAAGGAGAGCATGATGCTGATGAGTGCTAGCTCTGTGTCGCTAAACATCATCAAAGACATGTTGCCAGAGTTTGGCAACAAGTCGCCAGTCAACATTTGGGTTGCACAGCTTAAAACTGTTGCTGAAATACACAACCTAGACGACAACATGTTGCGGCTGCTGATCATGACGAAGTTGAAGGGCGAAGCACTAACCTGGTTGTACGATACCAATGACCGACTCAGTTTCTCAATAAACGAAATTTTAATTCAAATGATGGCAAAATTCGGCACAAAACAAAACAAGATGTGCTTGAGACGGCAGTTTGAGAAACGCAATTGGCTCGTAGAGGAGAATTTTGCCGCCTATTATCACCAAAAAATTTCGCTGGCCTCACAAATTCAGTTGGATGAAGAAGAACTCCTGGACAACATTATAGAGGGCATCCCAGACGACCATCTACGTCAGCAGGCACACATGCAGTGTTTCAAGCAGCCGGCTCAGATGCTGAAAGCATTTGAAAAAATAACACTCCCGAAGAAGGCAACGACATCGGTGAATTTGGAGAAGGCGAAAGGCGATGGGCAGCGTTTAAAAGCAGCAATCCGCTGCTATAATTGCAACTCCTTGGGCCACGTCGCAGCAGAGTGCCGAAAACCAAAGAGAGAATACGGGGCTTGTTATGGATGTGGCAGCTTGGATCATCGCATTGCTACATGTGATCAGAAGAAGAAGTCGACCAACGAATTTGTAAGGTATTTTAAGTTACAATTTAAAGCAAAAATTAATACTAGCATTTTCGCAGCGTGTCTCATCGATTCAGGGAGCCCGATCAGCTTCATAAAAATATCATGTTTAAGTGAATATTTTAAAAAATACAATAATAATGTTAATCAATGTGAAAAGACAAATGTTAATTTTGATAATTTTGACGATCTGAAAAATCATTTCAATTTTGATGTTTTTGAAAAACCTGTTAAAAATTATGAACAAAATTCTTATTTCTTTGGTATAAATAAAAGTAAATTAAATATCTTCGATAAAATAATTTGTTTTATGCCTGGTAAATATAGAGAAATTGAAATTGAAATGTTTGTCGTGGCAAACCAATCGATGAGTTATGATGCAGTGTTAGGAAGAAATTTTATTAAAGCATTTAATTATAAATTGACAAGTTCAATAATCAATGATAAAGAATATATACAAAAGGAGTGCCCTGAAATTCCAAATTATAAGACAGATGAGTTACAAAGTATAAAGTTAGACAAAGAGTGCCAAAATGAGTGTTTACCAAATGAGTGTTTAGAAAATGAGAGTTTAGAGTTTAAAGAAAATGAGCGGTTTGCAAAAGATTGTTTAGAGTTTGAAAAAAATGAGTGTTTACCAAATGAGTGCATAAAAAAGAAAGGTGTAAATAATGAATATAAAGAGAATGAGAGTAATTTAAATGAGTGGTTTAAAAATGAATGTTTAACAGATGAATGTCAGAAAAACGAGTGTACAACGGATGAATATGTTTCTGAAACTATTAAAAATGAAGATAATGTAAATTTGTTTGAGATGCTACCAATTGAATATCCTGAGGCTAAAGATGAGGTAAAATTGTGTGTTGGAAAAAATTGTAGTCAGAGTTTAAGCAATCAATTACAATGTTTATTTAAAAAATGTTATGAAAATGCAAGCAGACCAAAATTACCAGAAATGAAGTGGGAAATGAAACTAAATTTTGACAATATAAAACCATTTCATTATTCTCCTAGAAGGCTATCGTATGTAGAAAAAGAACAGGTTCAAAAATTAATTGATGAGTATCTGGCAAAGGGATTTATTAGAGAGAGCGATTCTGAGTATGCATCTGCAATTGTATTGGTAAAAAGAAGAATGGTGAACCAAGAATGTGTGTTGATTACCGAACTCTTAACAAAAGTATGTTGAAAGATAACTACCCGTCACCACTTATAGATGATCTGATTGATAAGCTGGCAGGAAAAAAGTTTTTTACAAAACTAGATTTACGAAATGGGTACTTTCATGTATTTATGCATGAAGACTCAGTTAAGTACACTGCTTTTACAACCCCGTTAGGACAGTATGAATGGCTCAGAATGCCGTTTGGGTTAAGAAATGCTCCAGCAGTGTTTCAAAGATTTGTGAATAAAGTCTTTGCAGATATGATAAAGTCAGGAGAACTATTAGTGTATATGGATGATATCTTAATAGCAACAGAGAGCAGTACCAGCCATATGAAAGTATTAGAGGAGGTGTTCAAAAGATTGGTCGCGAATAAGTTGGAGTTGAGACTAGATAAGTGTGAATTTTTACAATCGGAAATTAAGTATTTAGGATATATAGTGACAGGAGGAGAAATAAAACCAGATGATAAGGGAGTGCAAGCAGTCAGTGATTTCCCGGTACCAAAGAAAGCAAGAGATGTTCAAAGTTTTTTGGGTTTATGCTCCTATTTTCGACGTTTTGTTAAAGATTTCTCGACAAAAGCAAAACCACTGTATGACTTGATAAAAAAAGATAGAGAGTTTAAATTCGGATTAGAAGAACTTGAGTGCTTTGAATTATTAAAGAAAAATCTTTTAGAAGGACCAGTTTTAGCCTTATATAACCCTGCTGATGAGACTGAATTGCACTGTGATGCTAGCTCTTTAGGATTTGGAGCGATTTTGATGCAACGGAAAGTTGATGGAAAGTTACATCCGGTATTTTATTTTTCAAAACGAACGACAGAAGCTGAGTCTAGGTACGAGAGTTTTAAGCTAGAGATGCTAGCTATAGTGAATGCGTTGCAACGTTTCAGAATATATCTTCAAGGTATACATTTTAAGCTAGTAACAGATTGCAATGCATTAACATTGGCTTTGAATAAAAAAATATTAAGTCCAGCAATTGATAGATGGGTCCTTGAACTACAGAACTACGATTACATTCCAGAACACAGACCAGGCAAGAGGATGCAGCATGTAGATGCACTAAGCAGGTGTGTAGAGGTATTAGCCATAGATACTAACACTTTTGAAGAAAGTTTAATAATTTGTCAAAGTAAAGATGAAAAAATAAAAAGAATTAGAGATAGTTTGCAACAGTCTGAGCAAAAGCATTTTGAAATGAGAAATGGAGTTATTTATAGGAAGACAGATAGTGGTAGCTTGCTATTGACAGTACCGGAGGAAATGGAAGGACATGTACTGTACAAATATCATGATGAGTTAGGACATATTGGAGTGAATAAAATGATCGAAATTATATTGAAAAGTTATTGGTTTTCTCACATGAAAAATAAAGCTAAACGCCATGTAGACAACTGCCTTAAATGTATTGCATATTCAGCAAAGAGTGGAAGGGAAGAGGGTTTCTTAAATAATATACCAAAAGAGACTAAGCCATTTCAAGTAGTTCATGTTGATCATTATGGTCCTGTGGACAAAGGTAGACCCAACAAGCATATTTTTGTGGTGATCGATGGTTTCACAAAGTTTGTCCGTTTATATCCAACAAAAACAACAAGTACAAAGGAGGTGAAGATAGCATTGGAAGACTATTTTAGGGCATATAGTAGACCACGGTGTATTGTATCAGACAGGGGTAGCTGTTTTACGTCAGATGATTTTGAAAAGTTTCTAGAACAAAATGAAGTCAAACATGTTAAAATTGCCACAGGATCTCCCCAAGCAAACGGGCAAGTGGAGAGGGTAAACCGTATATTGGGACCAATGATCGCAAAACTAGTAAATTCAGAGAAAGGGTTACATTGGGATATGGTATTAGAACAAGTAGAGTATGCACTTAATAATACAGTTCAAAGATCAATAAAACAGCACCCAAGCAAAATGCTATTTGGAGTAACGCAAAGAGGTAAAGAAATAGACAAACTAAAAGAGGAATTGGAAGAACTGAATGGAGTAACGGAAGATAGAAATATAGAAGAAATACGAGAAACGGCTAGAGTACACCAAGAAAAATTACAAGAATATAATAAAAAAGCTGTGGATGAAAAGAGAAAAGAACCACATAAATATGAAGAAGGAGATTTAGTAATGATTAAAAATTTTGACACTAATGTAGGGATATGTAAAAAACTTGTACCAAAATATAAAGGACCGTATAAAATAAGTAAGATTTTGAAAAATGATAGATATATATTGGAAGATGTAGACAATTTCCAACAGTCAAGGATACCTTATAAAGGAGTGTGGGCAGTGGCCAATATGAAGCCTTGGTTGAGGACAGAGGCACATAGAGAAGATGATGTTGGAGATCAGGAGCACTCCAGTCAGGATAGGCCGAGTTGTAGGAGATAAGTAGTATACATATACATACAAATATATATAAGCACCTATGTATACATCACACATTTGTAAATACACATAACATAATTATCTATAAGCATATCTGTAAATTATCCCTAAGCTTTAGCAACATGTTGTTAGGATATATGCATACACACAATAAACATGCATTCGCATTTTGACTAGCAACGAGATCGCAAGCTTTTGATTGATCGGCCAACAAACGCGTGATATTTATTGAACAGCCCACAATATATATATAAATTCCATTATACATATATGCATCCCGTTTTTAGTAACTATATACTATAACGTTCAATATATATATGTACATATATGTACATCTCTTCCAGCAAGTGAAAAGTGCAAAGAGCAATAAATCCCAAATTAAAATTATTTTGTGTGGGCAAATATTTTTTGTCCAGTGTGTTTTTATTCCAAGTGCAGTTACTTAAGCAGCAAGCAAGGAACGAAAGCTCTGCATATATGTAAGCACGTTATGCGTCCAGCATAATTAAAAATCAAAGAGCAATAAACAAATAAATAAAGAGTGTTGTGCGTGAGCTGGGGCAAACATTACGCCTGGGAAACAATCGATGGCACTATCGAAATTTTCGTTCCAAAATTTCTGTGTTCCCGCAACCTCAAAGGAGTCAGAGCGTATGTTCAGCAAAGTTGGATTCATTATAAGTAACCGGGGTTTCGCTTAAGGCGAATAATGCAGACATTTTGCTATTTTAACAAAGAAATGCATGATTCATATAAAAATGTCTTTAATTTTGTTGATTTTTGTTGAAATACCTTATATTTTATGTTGATGGTATAATAGAATAGTTTTGACCATTTTATTTCTGTTTGTAGTAATTTATACAGCACTAAAAACCTTAATAAGATAAGAATTAAATAAATATGCAAAATGCTATCGATACTATCGAATTTTCGCTATGAAAACATCGAAAATATCGAATGGCGCGACCATCGATGATTTTCCAGCTCTAGCAAACATATTTTTTGTTGCCCAGTATGTTTTATTCCAAGTGCTTTTTACATCCAAATATATATACATATGTACACGCACAAATGTATGTCAAAGCCCAAATAATAATAATTACACTATATTGGGGGGATGGTGGCCCAGCAGGTAGAGCGCTGGCCTCCGGTCCGGAAGGCCCGGGTTCAAGTCGAGCCCCAGGCTCCCCGAGAAAAAAGAAACGGTCTCTTTTTCCAAATCTCCACCACTTCTATGCTCTATCGCTCACTTAACATTAGTAACAAATTTCGGCTCCCCGGACCCGCACACCCCCTCGTCCACGTTACTATGGACCCATCAATAGAATTTTCGTCACTCCTAGATGGCGCCAGGTGGCAACCCCACCGCTAGGATAAGTCGCTACTGGCTTATCACCGGTACGATTGAAAATCAATGATAATGAATCCTCTACAAGAAATTGTAGAGGCTCTAAGCTCCCGGGTGGAGTAACAGAATGTAAATTTTTTTTCCACTAACCACAGCATCGATAAAATTCCGCATCACAAATCCATGCATGCTCTTGTAATTTTTTCCAGTTGATATTAATATCCATTTTATATATATATATATATTATATGTTTATTTTGCGTTTTAATATTTTCTAAAGGCGCAAATTAATTAAAGGAAAACTCGAGACACAAATAATAATACAAATACATACATACGAAACACAAATTAATAATACAAATTCATAAATACGATTCAGCAGTTAATAAATAAAACTGATTAATTAATAAAAAACATACGTCGAATCATAAATTAATAAATAAAGATAATTAATTAATCAATTCTTTTTTTCCAACCAGTTAAAGGCAGCACCAAAGAATTTTTTGCTGTTGCGTATGTTCAAAAAAAAAAAAAAAATCTTTTTATAAAAAAAGTTAACTGTTCCAGTCCACTTGTTCTCTCTGATATTTTTGTATTTTAAATTCAGAACATCTCCAAATAGTTTTAAGACGTTCCATTCCACGCGTTTCAAGGCCTTATTTTTGCCTTATCCATTCCTCTGATCGGATTAATTCAACCGTGTTGAAGTTTTTCCTCCTTCGGGCATTACGTTCCATTCCACGTGTCCCAACGCATATTTTTTCTAAATATACTTGGTCTCCTTGGGTTTTTTTTCGCAATCCACAGACGTAGCAGAGGCAGCCCTCAATAAGTTTATCGCAGTGACTGATCGTCTCAGTCAGTTTGAAGCGAGACTTAATGGTCCAGGGCCTTCTAACCCCTCTTTGCATATATGCAATGTCCGTCGAGACCAAGTCCGGTCACTCTGGGACAAAGTCAAGAAGGAATTCGAGATTTGTCTGGAGACCATTACGGCGGCAGGCGCGGGGACCTCAGTTCTCCATAACAAGTACGACTATTGTTATTCGGTGTACGAAACTCTGGCAGCCCAACTCAGCGAGCAAATAGAGAAAGCAACGGCTCCAACAACTTCCACAAACCCGCAAAGCTATATTCCCTCCGGATTTCGCTTACCTCCATGTGACACCGAAGTTTTTGAGGGAGACTATTTAAAATGGCCAACGTTCAGAGATCTCTTCACGGCAGTTTACGTGAATAATCCTAGGCTCACACCAGTTGAGAAATTATTTCATCTCAACTCCAAGAAGCGAAAGCGATTGTTTCAAAATCCCCGCTTACCAATGACGGCTTCGCGTCCGCCTGCATATCGCTCCGAGAGCGGTTTGAAAACAAAATGCTTTTGGTCAACAGCCAACTCAAACTTCTCTTTAACTTGAGTTCGGTTGGCTAAGAATCTGGTCGAGCGCTAAAGGAGCTGCAGAACACCATACAAGGGTGTTTAGTAGCGCTAGCGCACTCCAATATTTCCACGGAGAACTGGGATTGCCTGTTGGTGTTCCTGTGCGCCAGTAAACTGCCGAAGTTGACCCTTTCCTTATGGGAACAGTCTCTGTCATCCAAGTCCGATATTCCGACATGGGAAGAAATGAACACATTTCTCAGTGAAAGATATCGGACTCTAGAAGCCATCGAGGACATGAAACCGAGTATTAGCGGTATAGCCTCGAAAAATCCTGTAGCTTCCAAAAAACTCAATTCCTTCGAAGCGAAAGTGAGCACAAAACCGAAGACTTGTGATTTGTGTTCAAAAGAGAATCACCCGGTCCGGATGTGCTCACGCTTCTTGCAAATGTCCGTGGATGCGCGCAGCAGCTATATTAAAAAGAAGCAGCTGTGCCTCAATTGTTTCGCGCGCGGCCATCAGCTTCGCGACTGCACGAGCACACACAGCTGTGCTACGTGCCACGGGCGACACCATACGCTGCTGCATCGGGGCGTTCCTAGCCCTTTGCCACATTCCACAATTAACGTTTCGGCAAACACACAACCTCCTGCAGCACCTGCGACGACCAGCTCATCCGGACAGCCGCCAGCAGTGCAAAACTATTTTGCAGCTGGATCCACGGCGGTGCTGCTAGGCACGGCAATGCTGGATATTTGCCATCTCGGGACGAAATATAGGGCTCTCGCCCTAATCGATTCGGGCTCCGAGGCGACTTTTATTTCCGAACGCCTATTCAGGCTCCTCAAGCTGCCATTCCGTCTCATTAACGCCAAGGTCTCCGGTTTGAATCAGACCGTTTCCGCACAGTCGACCAGGCTGTGTCATTTCGCGATAAGTTCGCCCTCCAAACCCGGCCTGCAGCTAAATACAGAAGCTTATGTGCTGCCAGAATTGGCAGGCAATCTACCATCTTATCCGATTCCGAAAGAAGCGCTGACTGGTTTGCCTAACCTTCCTTTGGCAGACCCAACGTTCTTTGACAGTTCCCGAATAGACGTTTTGATCGGAGCTGATATATTGCCATCCGTGCTGCTGAGCGGAACAAGAACAAATATTTGCGGCTCTCTTCTCGGTCAAGAAACCATTTTCGGTTGGGTGCTTACAGGCCCAGTGTCCAGCACACCAAACCATGACAGGGTCTCAGCTTTTACAAGCCAGATCAGCGAAACGGCAAATAGAGAGGTATTACCCAAGGTTGAAGCATGCCTTAACTCCCGGCCGCTCAATCCAATGTCCGAAAATCCCTCCAAGTTTCTGGCATTAACGCCAGGCTATTTCCTGATCGGGCGTCCGTTGTTTTCCACAGCTGAGCCCGAAATCAAAAGGGAAGCTCGGTCGATTATAAATCGACGGCAACATTCGAAGGCCCAGCATCAGCAATTTACTGTGCGATGGAAAGAGGAGTATCTAAAAGAACTCCATAAGCGCAACAAATGGCAAGCTCCAGACCGGAACATCCAAGTTGGGGATATGGTGGTTGTTAAAGAGGACAACATACCATCCAACGATTGGCGACTCGGCAGTCGTGTCGGTCTATCCGGGAGCCGACAGCCGGGTTCGCGTCATCGACGTGTTTACTTCGCGGGGCACTATTAAGCGCCCAGTTCATAAAGTTGTGCTCCTTCCGACAGAGGCTCAAATTATTCCGCAGCCCAGTCAATAGTTCACACGTAGTCGCTAACCATTCCGCGCGCTTACAACATATTCCATAAGCTGATAACGTTTCTTTCTTATTTAATTTTCTATTATTCCATTCTTTTTTTCATGTGCCTAGCATCATCTCGTATCTGCATCCGCAATGGCTCCTCGTCCAACTCCCCGCTCTGCGCAAGCCCTCGAAAAAGACGTTCCCGAGGTACGCAGTCCTACCGTTGCCGATTCTGTAAGGGGATTCATCCTCTTCGGAAATGCAACCGATTCCTGAGGTTGTCCTCCGAGAAAAGGCTTCGAGCAGTACTGATCAACAAGTACTGCTCGAATTGCCTAGCGCATCAGCACTCGGGGGGCTTGCCGCAGCGGGGACAAGTGCAAAAAGTGTGGCCAGAACCACCACACTCTGCTCCACCTCCGTGAGCTGCCAGTGGTGCGACGCCCAACGTCACGCCCATCTCTACGGCCTCCACGTCTCCATCGCCATCGCCATCGCCATCTCCATCACCATCACCGTCATATTCGCCAAAATCGTCGGCTTCCAGGGCCCATCCATCGGCAGGAAGACGCAGGAGTCCCGTGCGATCTACGCGGCCTGCCGCGCCATCCGTGGTTTCCGTGGCTCTGTTGCTGCATATATTGCCAACGGCAATAGTGGTGCTGGATACTGGCACCACGAAATACGAGGTCGGTGGAGTCAATGAGCGGACTCCTGCACCGCAATGAGTGCCGCGGCGCTCCGCCTCACCACGACCAATTTGGGCGACGAACGCGTGTGTGCGGCAAGACGGGACACTTCTTTATGGCAGTGTAACAATTAACAGACCAGAGAGCAGTTCTCTCCAGATGATCTTTCATCTCGCTCTCTTGGTCTGCTAATTGTCTCCACACCGCTCTGCCGCCCTCTCCTGGATTTACATCCAGTTAGTGTAAAAACTAACCTACGGCAATAAAGTGCAACTTAATTCGAAAACAACAGTGTTTTACTTCCGCGACGCGAAAGTCATATTTTCCGATTTCGAGTGCTTAATTCTTGTCAAAGAAGGAAGTCCGCCCCCCTGCACAATCGTTATAAATTGGTCTTTAATACTTCAGGTAAGTTTAGGTATATTTAACATTTCGCATCTAATTAATTTTATCAAAATCTATTTGTTCATTAGGCCCCAGACTCACCAATTAACCGCCGGATAAATATTTAGCGGTCAAAGCGCTAAATAGCGCTAGCCTAGCGATAAGCAAGGATCAGACACTCGCCAGTAAAAAATGTTATGCCCCCTTGTATTGGCAGAACTCACTTCGCTAATACGGCTGAGTTTTTTGGTCACCTAATCCTAAGGAGCTCCATGGGAATAGAAAGGACGCCGAAAGGTATGGAAGATTCACTACACTAATCCTCGATCCTTTTTATTTATCGCGACCTTGTTTTGTTTTAACAAATCGCCGGTCAAACGCTGATCTTGGGACTAACTCGCATTGGTTTTAAGAAACAAGGTATTTAATGTCTTACATACATACTTCATTAATTGATTTTGAATTTTAGCAGGTGGTGGTTGGGCTCGGCCCACCAAGAAACCGCACCACCAGGAACTTGGAGGCGTATATGGCCCTTGCTGGCCAATCTCGTGGAGGCACCCCGACAAGGATGGATTCCCTCTTCTCGTTCTCCAATTCTTGCTTAAGCCAATCTCCTCCAGAAAAATGGTTCTTCCAAAATTGTTTTTGTCAAAAATAGTCTGTCGCCTCCGAAATAAAATTTATGATTCCTTCCGAAAATCATGTATGACTCTTCCAGAATATTTATACTTTCCAAAAATATTGTGTTCTTCAAAAAACATGTGGACGTCTTTCAAAGAGGTTATGGGTTCCTCCGAAAAGAAATTTTGGTTCTTCAAAAAAAAATCCCGGGGCCCTTTATTGTGGGACCCCGGTTTCCCTAAACAAAATAAACATTTATATTTCCAAAAGAAAAATTACACAAAAAAACTCCAACTCACTTTTTCACAAAATTTGCACAAAACCACTACGAGGTTAAATTACCAAGTCTATCGTGTCCGTCTTTTCTTGTAGTTTGTTTCCGGTTCCGTTGATCCTCCCAAGCAAGGATTTCGAGACGTGCTACACAGGAATTAAGCGGAACGATGAAATACTTGGTAGCTTTGGAGTCCTTGCAGGAATTAACGTACTCTGGTGGCTCTGTGAAGTTCGTACGGCGCCCTACGCGGGGCCCACGCTTGACGGGAAGTATTTTGATATAGCTTGTAACGAACTGTTTTTGTTGCTTTTATGCTCGCTACTGGAGTGTGCGGCTAGCTCAGTAATAGTCCCACCAAATTTATATGTTGTGATTGCCCCACCAGTGAATAAGAAGACAACGTTGATTTCTTGACTTCAAACTTGTTTATTGACTTCCAAAACTGACAATTTAATATACTGCTCGCCTCGGTATGATTCCCTCGATGCTTCCTCTTGGTTTGACGCCCTCTCCAGTGCTCCCGCTCGATCGTTGCCGTTGATGTCGGGTGTTTCACGTGATGGAGTCGAACTATCTGGGCTGTGGGAAGCATCACCGTTCCCAGACTAGGGTGAACAGGGGCCGTGTTCTCCAGGCGAATGCCTTTCGCAACCTCGACCTCCCGCCCCTTCCTCTGTCCCGGCCGGTCCACCGAACGCTCACCCAATTCTCACCGTCGGTCCAGGCGTACGCCGGGTACCCGACGAATGATCCTCTCGTGATACGATCAGTTCAGACGAACGTTCCACCCTAGTCCCTACTACTCCGTGCTGGGGCTGTTCAATCCTTGGCTCTCGGGACTGCTCCCGGACTCTGGCAGACACAGCAGGCTTCTCGGCGTGCACGCCTTTAACACCCGTGCCGTTCAACTGCGCGTCCTTCGCGGCTTGTCGCACCAGAACGCAACTTTCGCCACGAGACGGACCAAGCGTACGCCGGATCACGGTCTGGTAGACTCTACAGTATGCGTCTGGTTCTTGACCCTCCCCACCGAGGACACGTCTACTCGAATAAGGACTCGTGTGTGCCGACTTGGTTAGGACCCGCCGGGCAATACGCCAGGCTCAATGTCCCCAACCAGGGGTCGTTACAGGCGCCTAGTTCGACTCGTGTGCTGCCCACAGGACCTCAGCTACCTGTGTCTCAATTCGGAGACTTGCAACTTAAAGTCCCGAACGTCTCAACGTAGCAATCTTGCTCCTTGTAAACTGCCTGCTTGCTTGGGATCCTCGCGTCCTTCGTCCGCGCCGTTGATACTTTCTCCTCTTGTTCTTCGTGTTCGTCCTCGCTTGAATCCTTGCTTGTATCCTTGCTTGACTTCTCGCTGCCTGATGTATACTTGCGTTTCACTTCTATTTGACTGATCCCGGCTGACCTGCGGGGCCCGCTTATATAGGGCCCCTGGACCCGTTAATTCTCGGCGTCTCCTTTTCCTCTGGGTCCAAGGTCCACCGCGATCCCGTTACTTCTTTGGCTGGATGGCGTGACCGGGTCCAAGGTACACCGCGGCCACGATATCCTTTTATCCAGCCCATTATTATTTGTGGGGAGTTATCCAACTCCTCACATTCCCCCTTACTTCGGGAAGGAAAACGAAACTCGCGTCTGGTTGACAACTCCGGTTGTCTCCTCCTGTTTCCTTCGTCGCCGATGCATCCCTCGAAGATCCAGATGCCCAGAATTCCTCCCGAGACACTTCCCCCGTTGAACTCTGTTCGTAGACGTCTTCCCTCGTAGACTCTCCCCTCGTAGACATAGACGTTTCCCTTGTAGCCGTAGACGTTTCTCTCGTAGAAGTTTCCCTCGTAGACGTTTCCCTCGTAGACGTTTCCCTTGTAGCCGTTCCCTTCGTAGACGTTGACGTTTATCTCCGCAGATGTAGACGTTTTCTCGGCTCAAACTTCGAATTTGAATCTGCACGCCTTCTTGATGCAAACTGATAATTTGAATTTGCGCGCCCTCTGCCAATTCAAATTTGCGCGTCTTCCCGATGCTCCCTCTGGTCATACTGTCAGCTGGCTGATCTGTTCCCACCTCCCCATATCAAACGCCGGGTTGCCACTTTATCATGGCGCTTAGTGCAGTGCGACCCATCACTTATTGGCCCTCAGCCTATCGATAGTTCCGCCTGCCGATCATACTCTATCGAAACCTTCCCACCCCGAGGTCCACACCGGAATGGAAAAATTTCCATGGTAAGTTTACTCTTTCACTTTTCTCTTTTTCCATGTTTTCTTGCATTTTCCCCTACAGCTCTCCATGCTCTTGATTTGCCCTTCAAACTGGACCTCGGGTGGAAAAGGTTAATGCCCCCCCCCAAACCACAAGTACATGCTGCCCACGCTAATTACCCTCTTCTTCTTGCAGCTCACATCAAACGATCCCCCCCTTTTTTTTTTAAATTTTCTTTTAGAGTTTTAAATGTGTTACTGAGTGTTTTTTTTGTGCAAGTGCGTTTTATGAGATCGCCTAAATTCCCCTTTTTTCCCGTTGAGCTGGCCCCCGCAATCTTTTGTTTACATTTTGATTTTGATTCACGTTTCCCCTTCCCTTTTTTTTCGACTATTAAAACTCCGCTGAGGGTTTTTATTTGCTTCCCGTCTAACTTTCTTTTCCTCAACTTTCCTGTTTCCGTTTCTTTTCTTAGTTTATTATTATAAATATTGTTGTGCTGGGGCGTCCGACTGAAGGAAGCAAAACTCCTGGTGGGCAGCGACGGCTGGCGGTGTTAGGCTGTGGGGGGTGAGAAAGAAAACCACTCGGCGATCGCGAAAAGTAAAGACTTTAAACTTCGTAATGGCGCGGACCGGCCGGGCGTTTATTCACACGTTTGACGATTTTGCTATGCTATTCTAAGCTAGGCGCTTGGAGGCGCAGCGGAGACTTCTTGCACTCGGGGAGTGGAGAGCCTGGACGGCCGAGCGCGACATGCTCA